TTCTGGAAACTATCACTGAAAATGGGAGTCTTAACTGGTACAAGAGACAGCCACATCCTATCTGGAGTCAAGGGGAAAGCACAAAGCGAACCCGTAAGGCTCACAACTTTGGTGAGTTTTCCCTCAAGCCCGTCCCAGTGGTTTAGTACTGCAAATCTGGGTGTTCTTTCAGTTAAACACCTTCCAAGCCCTACTCCAACTGTATAAAGGGCCATGGACTTCTCAGCCCCTCCCCGCTCCCATTTCATCACATAGCTCCCTAATCTTTTCAAACTTTCATTTTCACTGGTTTTCAGGAAGGTCAGATAAATATTCCTGGAAAAAAGTCCTGGCTCACTGGAAGAAAGGACACAAAGCATTAAGTTTTCAGCTCAAAGAACAAAACAAGAAATCAAATCTTTGAGGTTGGCTAGCATAACTGACCCATCTATTAGCTCAGACCCCAGTGTTCTTCCCTAAGAACACTAATATCCTTCCATGGAAGAGCTAACATGTCTTTTAATAAATTAATGACTACTCTCTTCTTTTGAGATCAAATTCTGTGCTCTTTGGTGCTGTTTACCCCCATGTGGTGAAGGAATTACCTTGGATGCCACCTATAGGTCACTGTTTTGGGTCTTTTCCCAATGGGTGATTGAGAAAAGAAAGAATACAGAGTCTGTGAGGAAAGGAGTTTCCAAGTCACACGATAAATATAGGAACTAAGCTTCACACATCAACAGATTTTTAAAGGTATCATCACTAAGATACGAAGCAGATTCAGTCTCTGTGGTTACAGTGCCCCTCGGGTTATGAAGTCAGTTAGTAAAGTCCTTTCACATCAGGACCCCAGAACCTCAAAGTTGTTTCCCAAGCACACTCTACTCCAGTGAGGATATGCTTCCAGAACTGCTGTCTTTATACTAATCTGGGAATTAGCTCTGTGTCTCTTATTTCTCATGAACTTTTACTGTCATTAAGTTTTCATATTTTTTGTCTATCCTCCTGAATGGGCAGACAGGAATCCTGACAGTTCTTTGACCAGTTTAAAAAAGCTCAATGTTAATCAATGGTCCACTCAAATGTTTTTGAGTATCTAAAGTCTGTCTCACACAGCAGTAATGGTGATGAAAAGCCAAATACTTATTCATCTGTACATCCACTGCCTCAGTTCACCACAGTTCCAGACAGGGGAGGGTACATCCTGGAGAACACTCATCATTTCAAGAGTCTAACTGCTGTTAGTGCTAGATGGTGTCACTTGGATGATCATCCTTCTGAACTAGGAAGAAATTGAGGATTTCTTGGTCTCAGAGTTCACAGAGCACCTGAAGTCCAGGTGGGAAGAGTGAATAGTTGGAGGTGCAATGCACCCTGCACCCCCTCCACTTCTCAGATAAGCCCAGTCTCTCAACCTCTTCCCTCGAACTCCTTCATATACCTCAAAGGAGATTTTGCCTCTTTTTTACAGAAAGGTTCACTGGGGAATGGTGACACTTGATAAAAAGGTGCCTGGTGAAGAACAGTTCCTGAGTCTTAATTTATACTGGATTAGGAAAATCTTGTTTCTAAAATAGGGAATGGCCCAGAGATCACAAAACAAATACTTTCCATCCCCATTCAAGTAGTCAAAGCTGCTCTCATTCAACAAAATTCCTGGGGTGGAGATTCAATGATCTTCCTCTTCTCAAATTCTTCTAGATCATCACCCAACCCTGACACTGCAACAGTGTGCCTTCTTTTTGACCAAGCATTACTACAAAAAAGCCTGTTCGCTCAGGTCAAATTCTTCAAAGTCAATGCAAAAGTCTTTCAGTCATCCTTAATTTGTTTTGGACTACTTTGATTTTGATAAGCAAAATCAAATCTGTGAGTTTATCATCTAAATTTATATGGAGCTTTACAATTTAGAGAGCATTCTGAAATATATTATTGTATTTTATTTGCTTCTTTCAATAGCCCCATGAAAGCAATGCCATCAATGCTGTGATCTTCAAATGACATGCTAGCTGAAAATGTTTGAGAACTGGAAAGCACTTCACATAAATGAGTTATTGCTCTACATATGAGGAAACTAGAGGAGGCATGTGACTTCCCCAAGGTCACATAGTTAAGGGGAAAGCCAGGGCTCAAACTAAGAACTCTAGGATTAAATCTAGTATTTCGCCCGGCTTGGTCTTCACATGAGCTAACTAAAAGCTTTTTTATGGACACACACCCAAACCCATCTGGTCATCTCAAAAACACATGCAAGGAGAACTAGGCAAGTGGATATAAAAACTTAGCAAGCTCAGTACCATTCCTGTAAAAGTATTCCGAGTGCATTATCTTTGCTTGTAATAGCAAACATTTTTAGAAACCTTGAAAAGACTACATTAATGGCAATATGTTATGCAGTGACAAAAGGGGTAAGATACAAAATACTTATACTTCTTTAGTCCATCTTTCAGCAACAACAATTAACACTAAAAAGTAAAGACACCTCACAAATGTTTCATATTTCTATGAAACAGACTTATGCCCTGAGAGGGTATAACACACCATCCTGAAAGCCTTCTCTAAGTGGCCTTACCTGCACTACATTTGAAATTAACATATGAAAGTTTAAACCATCTGAAATGGAAGAATTTATACTTGCTGACATGCTAATTTATTCCACAATTCCTTCATCAAATAGTCACTTGAAGCAGTTACCCCTTGCAAAGCTAGACAATAGGATATACCAGAAGAAACCAAACATGGTTGCTGTCTTGATGGAACCCAGTCTAGTGCTGCTTTTATGTAGTTCTCAGGAGTCACGTACCTTACCTAGTTCCTCAATTAGACTGAATGCTCTCTGGAAGCAAGAACTGTATACTTGAGTTTTCTGAAACACACTAACAGCACCTATGCTAGTCTTTCTACAGACCAAACTGTTAAGGAGACTCTTGACTCCATCATCTACAACATTTTTTTACAGTCTTTCCCTCCAATATGGTGTAAGATTGTGAATTATTTAAAATTTGTAGGGTCCTGAACCAGTCAAGTGGCAAGATTCAATGCAAACTGAAGGGGACCCCAAACCGGCTCTAATGGGGAAGACAACTGGCTTGTAGAATGCTCTCATCTTGCCAGGTGTAGTATCTCACAGGAGAAAATGGTGCTCTGACTACAGAAACTACAGGTGCCAGTCTGTAGTCTGTTGTTGTTAGCAAGTAAAGTATATCCTGCCCGACTGCAAAAAGAATACAGCAGTGCTTCCATGGACCACAGGACAGCCAGATCAGGGTGCAGTTACAACAGGATTCAGAATCAGCAGACCTAATTCTTGAGTCCAGAATCTGACTGACAGAAATGAGGTTAAATCACACCGGGCAAGGCAGGAAGCTTCTCTGAACCTCAATTACCCCTTCTGTGAAATGGAAATAATCACTGACTTGTCCACCTCACAGACTTATCAGGAGGCTCAATTGAGGTATGTTCTACAAAAGCACTTAGGAAATCCTACCATGCTATAGAAATAAATGTTGGAAAGACTTGAGGAAAGAAAAACCTCAGCCCAGGAATCCTCACTACCCCCTCCTGTTTGCACCCCCTGACACCTGGGTCTCCATCTTTTCACATCCTTGAATTCAGACATAATTCACATCCAGTTCTTAAAAAGGCAAGTGCATTAACTCCAATCTCCATAGGGATGAAAAGAGAAGCCAGCCATGTAACCACTTCCACTGTTTGTCTTTACATGCCTTAGCTCTCCATTTCTACAGAGAGGCCAGCAGAGAAGGAAGAGCCATTTGAACCAGCCACACATACTTTTTTGTCCTTTACATCTGCCTTCTGTCCACTGCCAAGTCAGGATCCCATCTGCAGAGTGCTGAACTAATCTAAATAGGACGGTGAGGCAGTACACAGATTAGTGTTTGTGAGAGATTATATGCATTTTAAGCCACATTCCACAGCCAAGAAGAAATTATTAGCATGGATAATCAAAGGTTATCTGGATGTGGAGAAAGCAATCACTCCCTTGCAAATATTCCTCCCTAGCTCTCAATATTTTTTCCAGGTCTAATCCTTTCATCTACTTGGTCAGTCCTCTAATCACCCATTCATCCAGTTTGGATGTGTGAGGCACCTCCAAAAACCCTCTCTCAGGATTCTCAAGGAGAAAAGGTTGGGCTAGGAAGGGAAGAGAAAAGGAAAGACAGTGTACAAAGTTGTAAGTGCAGTGTTACCAGAGATGGGGAGGTTGTACAGACTGTTTGAGGGGTGGGGAGCAAAAACATTCTGTGACAGGGCTCTAAGGGCCAGTGCCTCTGCCCATGAGGCCTAAGAACCCAAAACAACCCCTTCCATCTTGGGAGTGGGAAGGCCCATTCTGCAGAGTCAAGCATATGAAGAACAGCTTGGAGGACTAAACCTAGAACATCAGGCCCCTGGCTGGTCTCACCTTAAACCCTAAGCTGGAAGAGGCCATTCCCAGACCTGAATGGGTACAAAGGGTGTTTCTATCCTCTCATTCAGGCCAAGAACATGCTCCTTACTGGAGAAATGGCATCCACCTCTTCCATAAGCCCCACCATTCCCTAACAACCAGGCTGTGAGGTCCATTCCCCCACTAGGGCCCTTCCCTTCCCCCCAACACCTAAAGCCAGTTCCAACCCCCTCCTTGGGGAGCTCATGTGACCAGCCTGTGCAGCCTCCAACCCCCTGGGCTGGTAAGTTAGGGACTCAAATTCAGCCTCCAGGCTGGCAAAAGTCAAAGGTGGCTGGAAGCATTTCCCCCTATTTCTCCACCGCAGTTGGCTTCACTGTAGTTCATATTTAAAAAACACTGAATCAGAAGATGTGTTGGAAGGGGGTGTGGGGTGCCTATAAACACACAAGCCCAGACAGTCCCTGGGCTTTGGTAAGACCAAAGCTTCTACTCCAAGACCCACAGCCCACCCAAACCCTTCTCTTGCAACCTTTTATCAAAATGCAATACCCTCCCTCCCAATCCTCCCCTAAGTGTTGAAAAAAAGCCATATTATTAGCCAACCTACCTGTCTATACTCTGGGGTAGCCTTACACTCATGGTTTCTTGGTGTCTCCACGGCTCCAGAATCCAGTAGTTTTGATGTCTTGATCAGGAATGAATTGCTTGCAATTTTTAAGAAAGATGAGAGGAGGGCCTCCTTGAAGACTCAGTCCTTTTCCCGAGGGTTCTCAGGACCCTGGTAACTGAAGCTCCGCTCCACTTGTACCAGTTAACATGGTCTCCTTTCTTAGCCCCTCTTCCCCTCCCCCCCTTAAAAAAAAAAAAAAAAAAAAAAACGAAAGAAAAAGAGGAAAAGCTACGACCTTCTTCGAAACCAAAAACCCAACCACAAATCTCTTCAAGGTTAGCGCTATGGGCTAACAAATGAATCACAGGAAGAATGTGACTTCAAAATATCAGTCTTAACTGCAAAACACAGATAAAACCCATCCTTTAATCCAGTTTCCCCAGCTGTTGGCAAGACAGCCTCAAGCTCCAATGGGGAAAAAATTCTCTGTTTTCCAATGCCTTAAAAAGACAACAAATATATTTGAGAAAATTTAAAAAAAAAGGAAAAATAAATCCGAATTGACACTTGGAGAAAAAAATCTTCCAGCTGATTTGCACCGTGAAAAATAAATAAAACCATACACTAGTATGTACACAACAGCACTCCAAGCCCAGTGCAACCCTGGGAATCAAAATTATGAATTTTTTTTAAAAAAAGCTCTTACACGAAAGGTTTTGAAATTCTCCAATGAGCCAATCGCACCAAAAAAAAAAAAAAAAA